TCTCCCCCCCCCGCCATATCTTACTTGTTTATTGGGCTTGCAGAATATTCAATGGATTATAAAATTAGGCGTAATACATATAAACTGACCTAGATACCCACGTTAATTAAAAAAAACAAAAAACGCATCCACTCATCTAGGAGGACCTCGCACATGGCCTTCCATGGTCTCTAAACCATGTCTCAGGTCTCGAGACTAGCAACCTCCACAATTGCATGTATTATCTAGAGTTTTTTTTATATAGTTATAACACAGTTTAACAAAATATTTTAAAATATAATATAAATTAAAAATATTTAAAAAATAACTATTTGGACATATCGCTTTTAAAAATAACAATTATTTTAAAATTTATTTATAAATTAAATTAATTAATAGTTGTGAAAATTAATTTAAATTTTTATTTTCATAAAAATCTAATGAACATGAAATAAAATTTAAAATCTTATATATTTATTTTCAACACACCCACTATTATTAGAAAAAATTTTAAAATAATTTTAACCATATTAAAAAACCACCAACATCAATTTAAGATTATTTATGATCTCTTTTAATAATGTTCCAATATATAATTAAAATCACATTATCTAGATTTTTTTTTTAACAGTATCAAGTGTCTTCAAAACAAATTTTCAATATATTCCAGGTATTTCATTTTTTATTTTTTATCTTTTCCCCTCGTCATATTTATCTCTAAACTATAAGATATTAAATCTTATCTTTTAAACCTTCCAAAAAAAATTAAAATTTAAAATTGAATTTTATTAATTTAATTATTTTAAAAAGAAAAAACCATCATCACACAACTGTCAAACTACTATTTTCAATTGCAGTTTTGTACATTATTAAGTTCAAATTATACTATTTTTCAAATATTTTTAAACCCAATGTTATTCTCCCAAGAATTTTACAAAACTATGTTATTTTTCAAAATCAATCCATCATTTAGTAGAGACCAAATTTACAAACCGGAACAGAACTGGTAGTAATTAGTATCAACTGAAACTGAACTATTACAGTAGCCGAAATAGCGATATAGGCCTGATATTGATGGCCACAAAATGACAATGACAAAAGCACACAATCTTGTTCTTGTCACGTCCTGGTCACCAAATCTAATAGCTACGCCGCATAGCTAGATTTGTTACTAATGCGTCTACCCATTGACCTTTGCTCCACCATTGCCCTTGAACCATCCCTGGCTGGGCTGAAACTTACCGGTAAATACTCATCAGAGTCGCATTCAAAAGTTGACTTCTCAAAATGCCTCACTAGCTGCTCCTTGCCCTGAGATCACATTTTCAAATCAAACCCCATATTGTTTAGATAAGAGAACTCATCAAGGGAGTCTTATGAGTGCAATACTCTCGTGATTACCGTACCTGGAGCCTAGCACAGGCTATCTCACGTATCTTGCTGGACTGGAAAACATCCCATGCTTGATGGTTGGTGGAAAGGTAAAACTTCCACGCAGCTCTTGCATCTGTGAAGTTAACAAAAGCATAGCCTTTGTTGGCCTCTCTTCTGCATCCCACCACAAATCCAGCATAATTAAAAGTGATGGATGTTGTTTTAGTTTGTGTAGAGCCAATAAAGTTTGGCTTTTGTGAATAAAATATGTAGAAGAACTCTCGTTTAAACCCTGCAATAAATGTTTCTGATGGGCAAAAGCAATTGGAAATTCAAGATCAAAAACACAACTGAAACGTACTCGAAGTCGATAGGCAGATACAGGAAATCGAAAGCTGACACAATTGCCTCCCTGGCAGAGTCAGAATTTTGATGCTTTTTTGCCTTTTCATTCTCCATCTTGCAATGCCTGTCAAGGAATTCCATTAACATTTCACGGCTGCGAGAAAACAAGTGGAACTGTTAGGAGCGATTTTGTAGAGATACAATATGAAAGACTAGAAAAACCAATTCAGAAAAATAAAGGGAGGCAACTTCTGGAATAATTTGGAACCGGATGAGTACTGATAGGATACTGCATGCTTCATAAAAAACTAACAGAGTGTAGCTAATGAAGAAACCCCACTACACACAAATTCAAGGAGAGACAGAAAGTGAACCAATTACGTGTATCTATTGGGAATGTTCCTGATCATAACTGTGGTATCTTGGCCATCGGGTAGCACAGGGAACACAGAATGCTTCTGCCTAGAATTGGCACCACCACAAGATCTCACATTCCTTCCGGTTGAAGAATATTGCCTCTCGCGATTTCTACTACTTCCACTAGACTTGGCTCTCAAATCTTCCTTCTTGGCATGTTTTTTTTCGTGCCCTTTATACCTCCCTTCTCTCCCATTAAAAGAACCAACATATCTGCTACTCTCTCCTCTCTTTTTACTTCCTGTGCTAACCCTTGCAGGCACCAACTGTTGCATGTCCTTTTTGGGCTCATCTTGGGCTTGCACCATTTTCGTTTCCTCAGAGACTGCCATGATAGGGCTTGGCTTGGTCAGTACTGTAGAGACCAAGAGGTTATGGTTGTGAGCATAAGCAACACAGTACTGTGCATTGCTAGGATATTGATAATCGGTGTCAGTATAGTAAGGATAAGGATGAGAAGATGGCCCTGATGTAGAGTAGCAGTGGTAGTAGTAATAAGAAGATGGGTTTTGATTTATTGCAGGAAAAAACGAGAAGTTTGGGAGATCTTGGTCACTATAGTTAACAACATTATGCGAAGGTGCAACCATATCGTTTTCAGGGTAACTATGAGGAAAGAACTCAGGTGCTTCTGGGTTCAGGCTGGTACTGTTTCCATCAGTCGGAAACATAGAAGCAATTGATAACAGAAAGTGAAGATCGGTTTTTTAGAGCAACCTTCGAAGAATGGCGGGTAGCAAACACGCAAGTGAGCTGCAAGGTCGTGTTCAAGTGTTACTTGTTCGGGGGTGGCGACCAGAGAGTTGGAAGTGGAAGAAAATCTCATGATTGCAATAGAAGGGAGCATTTAATGCACAGATATCATTATAGAATAAACAATTATATATATAGGCGCCGAATGTTTGTGGCAGCAGCTTTATTTTGTACGTTTTTGTCAGAATTTTGATGTTTGATCTGCTACGAAAGCCTGGACGCTAGATTTCTCACCGATCATTACTTTATCCAGGATCTAACAAGCAGTTTCATCAACAACGATTACAGTGTGGTTAATTTTCGACCCGTTTGTGGTTGATTATAGTTAAGTTATTTTTTAAATAATATTTTATGTTAAAATATATATTAATAATATTTTTTTTATTTTTTAAAAATTATTATTAATATTAGTCTATCAAAATAATTTAAAAAATTAAAAACATATTACTATTAATTTGAAGTAAATAAAAAATTAAAATATTTAAATTTTTTAAAAATATTTTTAAAATACAGAAATTGTGATTTAAAAGTTTTTTAAATATATTATTATGATATTATTTTTATTTTTTAAATTTTATTTTTAATATTAGTATATTAAAATAATATAAAAAACATTAAAAAAAAAATATTTAAACAACAGCAATGTTTTTTTTTCTTCTTTTTAAGCTGAAGGAGAGTTTACTTAAAGATATCGAGGCAAATACAGAACCCACCTCGTTCACTTGAATGAAATTAGAGGTGAGTGCATTTCCGCGTGATGAGTCTTCTAGAGCCTAGCTTAGGATTGGTGGGCTTGTTGGGAGAACTGGGACAAACATCTAAAACGCCAATCTAAGAAATATTTCAGACAAACATGAAGTTGTAAGAATATAAAATTATGGTGAGGTCACGGTATGAAATGGAGAAAATAATTTTGATTATATACATAAACATACGTATATAAGAAGAATCAGAGTAGTTGAACCGAGAAAACCAGAGGGGCGTTACTCCTGCTTCGGGGGCATGAAGACCAACTGGTATCATTTCACTTCAATGGAAACGAGAAAGTAGCACGCATACATGAACTTCTATGCGTTTTAAATCCATTGAAAGAGTAGAAAATGCTTTTAGGTTCAATACAATGTGATTCAATTAAGAAATAAAATAAGATCAATCACAAAATATTGATTGAAATGCTTGACGTAGGTAAAACAGAAACAACTTGATGCATGCATACTCAATGGGAAGGTAGGTATGGTTATTGTCCGATATCCTCTGCTAAAATCAGGTGAATAAGAACTTTTACAGTATCTATCCAACTATGCGGAGCAAATTGGCTCCATCACTGTTACAATATGCATAAAGTCAACCGATTTCTCCCAATTCATCGCCTCATTTACAAAAAGAAAAAACAAAAAAAGAATAAGCGACGTCCACCTCTCTTTTACAAAACAATGTATAGAATGAACAAATTGCTTCAGTCCAGATAAAAGAGAGTAACAATTTTCCGGAGATTTTTTGCCTCCTGACAAGTTTCCATAAGCAGCCTGCTATCATGGAAGGCAAAGCAAATAACTTGTTGTACATGGGAAATAATGTCCATATTACACAGCCTGCAATTTCACCATTAAAAACCATCAGATAAATTCCGTTTATTATAGAAGATGCAGTCATTTTCCAACTTCAGCATTAAGCATAGAAGATGCAGTCATTTTCCAACTTCAGCATTAAGCAACCTTGCAACCACTCTATAGAACTTCCCACCGATGCAGAACTCAACTGAGCAATTAATGAACTTGCAAACTAAAACTAACAGCCCAAGCTCATTCACTAGACTAAACATTTTTAAATACTGCATGTCAAGCTTGCATTTCAGTTGAGCTCCTGTACCAGTTGAATCTACTTCGCTTTGCACGTGTAAGATCAAACAATTTAGCAAAATTTACTGAAAATAAAAGTCAGACCAATTTATTGGAATGCAACTGCCAATGGCTTGAGAAGGCAGTTCCATTCTTCAATTTCAATATTTGTGTTATATTATTTTGTACAAGTGGATCCAGAAAACCAGCATACTTGGTTAATCTTGTGGAGGCTTTATCAATCATCAAATCAAAATTAGTTCCACACGACAACGGTTGTAACTTTGTTTGCTTGACATGATGGTTATGCCATTACAGTTCTCAGTAAAAAGGTCTCAATTCTAAAGCAGTAAATTTTGACTTAAAAGCAGGGAACTGCATGATTTTCAACCACAGAACTTTCAGTTCTATTTGCGACACAAACCTTCATTTTCCATTCTTGGGTATCATGCTGTTAAATAAAACCATATAAAAACATAGAAACAACATGCATGAAAAGCAAGGCAAGGCAAATACTTTCTCACAGCTAATCTGTCAAATATTGCATGTCTACACGTGCAGAAAGAATTTTCAGCATTTAATGCTGAGCAACTTTGCATTTTATTTACGGTCAAAGCTTTCATCATTCAATACTTTTCACAGACAACATGTTTGTTAATCAAATCATTTAAAAGAGCAAAGAAACATTTCATTATCATTTCACCTTTGACAAATATGATATGAGCCAGGATTCTTTATTTTGCTATCCTTGTTGGTTGGCATAATTTTTAAGGGAAAAAAAATCATTAGCTCGGACAGATTCATAGGTAATTATTACATTACTGTAAGAGTACCCTCTCAAAAGAAAATTATGTAAAAAATAAAATACTGGAAGAGTAACTGAAAGAATAACATGTTAGCACAAACCTGCTGGCTTCAATCAGTGGTAGATGGTCATTGTGAGGCTTCTCTATCACATTCTGCACCTGCAAATAAAAAAAAACATAACCAGTTACCACAACACCAACAGTTGCCATCAGCAATGGAAATTATTATTTTTTCCTATTAACTCAATTTGGTGGATTCCTTTGTTCTTTTTTTTTTAAATAAATAAATAAACAGGGATTCATTTTCAGTACATCAACAAAATAAACATATTCATAGCCCCCAATTATTTTCATAAAAAGTCATGGTTCGTTAACTTGCAGACTCTTCTGCAACTAGCATCCAAATGGATGTCAGTCCCATTCACAGTATGTGAACTTTATAGTAGAGCAACAAATTAAAAGCTTAATAAGCCAACAATAAGGATCTCTCTCCCTAAAGTAAAGTTGGTTTGCAAATATGACATAGTATTATCTTTGATGCCTAAAGTTTCCAAAGTGAATAGGCCAAAATTATAAACAAATTTCGCACTTAGGCGAATTGCTCCATGTAAAATAGGAATCTTCTTTTGGTAGCCATATCTCCAAAAAGTGCCAGTACCTTAAGAACTTTGACTTTCAGTCAGATGATTACAAACCAAAAATTCATAGCAAAAGATTTAGAATTGAATGATTGGGATCAAGGGAATATTTTGAACATCTAACTTGAACCCTAATCTATCCACAAAATGTACTTAGAAACTTTCACAGAGAGGTGGGCTGAAATTTTACCATCTAATTTGCCGTAAGCAATGACAATCTCTCAAAAAGTCACCTAATAGGTGAACAGATTAAATAGACTACAAGTTCAATGATGTCTGAAAGCATATCAAATTTTTGAGGTTACATTTCAGATGCTTTTTAACATGAATTCAATAACATAATAATGTGTATGGGTTTGGCTGCACAATGTTTTGAAATTTAAAACTTAACTATCATTAAAATACCTCTGCATGCACCCAGAGGCTGAATAATGTCAGAACAGAGGGAATATTACATGAATGAATGTCAAAACTAATTTCTTACTTTTGCCAATAGCTCCTGGCTCTCAGGCGGTTGTTTTTTCAAACTTTGAGGCAAGATTACTGTAAGTAGTTCAGGTTTTTCTGCTCTTAAAGCACCCCTTATAACAGCTGCATTGGTCCCAGATGCACCTGATGTATAAATATGGTTTTTCTGCAGGAAAAGAAATCATGTTGCATTTCAGCAAGATGAGAATCTCAGAAGAATTTACTTAGATAGTCCATGGTAAGGCCCAGTGTCAAGTAAATTTCTAGAATGCTTAATGAGTATTCAAAGGAGACAAATAGAAATAAAATAAATGAGATTTATGTCATAGCATCTTACTGTTATAACCAAAGCATAACTGAGAATCTCAATAAGTTCTTGATGCATGAAGCCCATGTTCCGGGTTCCAAAAAACCCAATAGATCTTGGTCCTTGTTGTTGGATGGCCAATAACTCCTGCAAACAATTGTATATGCATATAAAACTTAACCTTTCAAACAGATATCCGAGGCCCTAAGGTTTAGCACAATAGAAAAAAATGCCGGGGTGCTTGCAAAACTGCAACCAATACAAAGAGAGATGAACTTACTCTCTAAAATTTGTCCCCAAGAATCACATTAAAAAATAAAATAAAACTATCTATATAGAATGCCTAAGATCAGGCAGAAGATGATCACTTAATCATTGTTATTTCCATCATGGAAAAGTTATTATGCAGGTCCTCTTGGTTGCTAGTGGTGCCAACCTTTAACTTGCAAGGGCATTTTTAAAAAAGTTGAGTACTATAACACATGATATCCCAAATTAGGCATCAGTAAACAATTTCTCAATTGTCAAACCCAGTATGTCAGCGGTGGAGAAATGATATTACTGTTGAAAAAGATGACAAGGTTGATTTTAACAATTAACTGCCAAAAATAAATTCTGTTGACTGAAGAACAAGTTTGTAATGGAAAGATCACACACCTGTAGATAGTCTACATCAGGAACAGGTTTAAATTCTGACAACACAACTGTCCCTGATCCTTCCACAATAGTTTGGGCTTGTGTTGGAATTTGGCTGCCAGTATCTTCATTTGAACCAAACATGCACTCAATGTTCTCCTCTTCAGCTTTCCAACTATCCATTTCCTGATCATTCCTCTTGTGTCCACAACGCCACTATTTCCA